CTTCTTATTTTATTTCATTTTGTGGAGAAGATCTTATTGGGCCCATTTTGCAGATCAGGAAATTGAGGCTCAGAGAAATTACACGACTTGCCCCAGGTCCTATGGTGAGAAAGTGATGGGGCCAAGACCCCCACCAAAGTCTGTCTGACTCACAAATCTGCCCGAGTCAGTTAGTTCAGTCTGTGGGTTTGGCTTGTGTGACTCTGTTTGTGTGTTTGCATGCAAGACGTGTTTCCATGCACCCAGAATGGAAAAACATCTATATTTAAAGATGGATGTGCTGTGGGGTTGAGTGGGAGTGCAGGCTTGTCTGCTGTATTGGATTTGACTTCTATTTGCGTTGATGGTGGGGTCCTTGGCTGTGTGTACACAGTGTGGAAGGTTTTAGTGGGAGTACAGGGGAGGATATTTATGTATTGGGTAGGAAGTCTGTGTTGGGGAGATGAAAATGGGATATTTCTCTTGGTGTGTATGTTTTTTCTTATGTAGCATTTTAACTTTAAACTTGTTGAAAGAATCTTTTTAAATTAAACAAAGATTCTAAAAACCATCTAAAACTCTAAATTTTCATTAAGGTATAACTTAAAGTGCCCAAGTCTTAAGTGTGCAGCTAGATGAATTTTTCCATAGGTGCACCCATGTGATCACCACTTGGATCAAAGTATAAAGCAGGTACAGCACCCTCAGTGACAGCAAGAACTCTCTCATGCCCCTCCCTCAGTCAGTACCCCTCAAAGTAGCCACTGCTCTGATTTCCATCCCTGTAAATTAGTTTTTTCTGTTCTTGAGTATTTTCTCAATGGAGTCACATAGTGTTTGCTTGGGGAGGTTGATAGCTAACATTGAACAAACTTGCTTTGTGTGCTCTCACTTCCCGTATCTCACTGAATTTATCATAATAGCGAAATAATGTAGCACCTATTTATTGTTCCCATTATATATATGAGGAAACTGAGGCTCAGAGAGGGCCCATGACTTGCCTTGGGTCACCCAGAGTGGAGTCAGCAATCTAATGCCACCGCTCTGGTCCTTGCCCACTACTAGAACATCCTACCTTCCTCTGGGTAACCTGCCAAAGAGGAGACATGGCTTACTGGATGCAAAGATAGCAGGAGTCAGACCTAGGAGTCCAGAGGTGCTTCTGGATGTGTTTTATTTTCCTAGCAGTCGGTGTCTCTGAATCTGTCGTGAGATCTCTCCAACTCCTCCTCTGCTGGGTCAGGAACCCCCACCGCTGCCCAACCACCGCTGTGCTGCAGAGACACACCAACCACAGGGGTCGAGTCCTGGCTCCTAGATTTATTTGCTATGTGACTGTGAGGAAGTTGTCTCCTTTTTTGAATCTCACGGCCTCAACTGTTGAAAGAAGGTTAAAATCCTCATGCAGGGTTAGGGTAGTAACAGACGGAAGGTGCCACTGTATAAATTACCACTGCTGTTATTTTTTAAAAGCCTTTTTATTGTAAAATAAAACATAAATACAGAAAGTCACGTAAAACATACGTGGAACCTAGTATGATGAACCACCTGTTACCAGTCAGATCAAGAAGTCGAAGCCCCTCGATCACAGCTTGACTTTTGTAGTATTTCTTTGTATTTCTCTTCAGTTTTATCACTCAAATGCCCCTCCCAAAACAGTAGAGTCCCTAAAAAAAATGTCCATGCTAAAAAATTAGGTTTGTGTGTTTGTTTATTAAATGAAGGTACTGGGGATTGAACCCAGGACCTCATTCATGCTAAGCAAGACACTCTACCACTCAGCTATTCCCCCCATTTCTCTTTTTTTCACATTGAAGTATAGTTGATATACAACATTAAATGTTACAGGTGTACAAAATAGTGATTCCAAATTTTTAAAGGTTATATTCCATTTATAGTTATTATAAAATATTGGCTATATTCCCTGTGTTGTACAACACAATCTCTTCTTAAAAGCAACTTTACTGGGTGGAAAGAACACTGGGGTAAGAATCAGAGACCTGGCATTGGAATCCAGTTTCCACTGGGACTAGCTGTGTGAACTTGGGCAAGGTCCTTAACCTCTCTGAGTTTCTACTTCCTCATCTGTTGAATGGAGCTCCTGATACCTAATCCATAAAACTGGAACAAAACTTGAATGAGATCATGCCCCTAAAGCATTTAGTGCCTGGCACCTAGTATGTGCTGAATAAATGTTAACTGCTTCTGTCACTAGTAGTATTATTAGCTGTTATTATAATTAACAGTGGTTGCTTACCCAGGCATTGTGTCAAGTGTATTAATTCATTTAATCCCTGCAACAATGCCATGAGGCAACCCCAAATTATAGGTGAGAAACCAAGGCACAGAAAGGTTAAGTCAGTTGCCCACGGTCACACAGCTAGTAAGCCATGAACCTAGGCTGTCTGGATCCAGAGCCAGCAATGTTAGTCACTAACATACACTGCCTCAAACATCACTGCTGTCGAGAAGACTTTCCCCTTTCCCCTTCGCTTGCCCAAGATGAGGGAGAACTCCAGGAGGGGTGAGGATGAAGCGATAGCTGAATCCAATGTGATAAAACCCAGGGGTGAGATCTAGCGCAAGGCATTCATCTAAATCTGGGCCATCCCTGGTTATTTCCCGCCTCCACCCTTCACATGTTTATCCACAGGCAACCTAAGTGAACCTGGGAATAGGCTTAGTCAGCGAGGACGGCAGAGAAGGTGCCACCTGGTGGAGCAGCCAGGCGTGTCGCTGCGTGTTTGCCACCAGGGCAAGTTTCTGGGTTTCCGAGGATGTGTGAACGTGCAGGGTAGGCGATGGTGATTTTCTATGTGTGGTTGGACTGAGGGGCCGTACTATCTTCGATGTCTGTCCCTCTGTCCCTGTGGAGAGGCAGCGTGACCAGCCTGCCTGGGTGCCCATCCCACCCCTGCCACCCGCTGGCTGTGTGACCCCAGGCAGATGACTCAGGTCTGTGTGTCTCGGCTTCCTCGTGGAGAGAAAAATGGATACAATGACAATAATAGCGCCGACCTGATAGAGTCGTTCTGAAGACTGAATGACCTCATTCAGGTAAAGTGCTTCGAACAGTGCTGGGCACTACGAGCACATGCACACAGCTTGTAGGTCTTAAGCTGATTAAACATGTGAAGGGTGGGTTTCTGTATATTTATCAAGGGCACCTGAGGGCGTCCAGTAGAAAGGATCTGAGGGATTGGGGAGACCAGCTGTCTCTATGACTTGTGGGAAGAGGCTATGTATGTGTGAGGGTGTGCATGTAAGTGTGTGCACAATGAATGTGTGTGCATTCTGTAAATGTTGGAGAATGTTCACCGCCAGAACCCCAGTGACCACACAAACAAGCTCCAGGCCTTAGGACGAGTCACTGAGGCTCTGTGTCCCCATCTGTCCATGGGTGCGGTTGCTGCCTCAAAGGCAGCTGTGAGGACCAAGTGAGTCATGGATGTAATGCTCTGAACCATTGCAAGTGCCGGGTATGGGGGAGAGGTCCGTGTTAAGCTTTCTGAGGGAGGAGAGCATGATCCTTGGCACTCCTGGACTTGTAAGTGCCAAGGCTCTTTGCGTCTGCCTCCTGGGGGCTGCAGAGCCCCCCCTAGGATGTTGTAGATTCCAGGCAGAAAAGCCCATAGTCCAACTGTTCCAGTGGCCCAGAGAAGGATAAGGACTTGCCCCAGGACACCCAGCATCCTGGAGGCAGAGAAGGGGCTAGATAGGAGCCAGTCCTTCCTGTCCTTCTGGTGTGATGAGAAAGCCCTGTAGAGGTCAAAATTAGGAGCTCTTGACCCCCACTGCTTCTGTCTGCCAATCTCCCCCAGTATCTAGCAGTCAGCGCCGGGGCTGGGGGAAGCTGCTCCAGCGGGAAGGTGTGTGCTTTGGCAGCAGGCACTGTCTGGGCCGCGGAGGCTGAGGCTGGGCAGTTGCCTGTGATGGGAATTCCATGTGTCTGGGGAGGACCCTGCTCCAGTAGCCTAGTGCCAGCCCCCAACCCCACATCACCACCTAGGCCAGAACTCAGCTTGGCACCCAGAGACTGGGTTCTGCCTAGGGATTCTCAGAGGTCTCTGGAAGAGGAGGCTGGGGGATTACAAATGCTTTAGCTTTGGGTTTTTTATATAGCATCTTTCTTGTAAGTCTGTCCCCTCCTGTTGCAAAAGTATCACTTGTTATTTGTAGAGAATACAAGTAATCAGAGAAGAGAAAATGAAATTCTTTCTTAACCCTGAAGTGTAGCAACTCAGAAACCAAAGGGGCTTTGACACACACACAAACACACCCCTGCATGTTTACCCATGTATCCATGCACACAAACATATGCCACAGAAACCATTCTAAGCACATGCATGTAGATGCTTGCACACTTATACAAGCACACAGATACTCACACAAGTACACACACAGGTGCAGACATCCACATGGTCATGTACATGTCTGTACACATATATGTGATCATGAGCCCTCCATGGGCATGGGTATGTCCGTGTGTGCTTGCACACCTATAACATAAACACATTCTCACAAGTACACGTGTGTACGCACAAGCACACACGCGTGCACACTCGCAGTGCTGCACATATGTGAGTTCATCTAATCCTTACATCAATGCCATAAGGTAGGTACCGTCATTTCTCCCATTTTACAGATAGGGCACAGATGATTCAGTAACCTGCCAAGGACACCTAGTTAGTGCATGAAAAAAAGAAGTTAAAAAAAAAAAAAGAATGTTGGTGGGGAGGGTAACAGTGCAGTGGTTGAGTCCAGACCCATGGGCTTAATTAATTAGGCGTACAGCGCTCTGTTGGAGCGCCATGGTAGGGAACAATTTCCTAGGCTTTTTCCCCTAAGGCACGTATCTTTGGTTTGTTTACAGAAATGGCATCCTTTTTACATACTAGCAGGGCCTGGGGGTCACACTTAGTTTTGAATCCTGGCTCTATTAAGGCTGGCTTGACTTCGGGCTGTTCCTTCACCTCTTTGGGGATCAGTTTCTTCATCTATAAAGTGGGGGAGCAATCGTATCTGCTTCTGAGGGTTGGCTGAGCTTGTATGTGTCAGGCACTCAGCCGAACTCGTTAGATGGAGCCACATTCAAACTGTCAACTCTGGGGCTGAAGAGCTTTGCTGGGGAAACAGTCAGAAAATACTCTGGAGGCAGAGTGGCCGGAGAGGTCTGGAAGGCAGAGAGAAGCCTCTGGATCTAGGGTCTCCCGAGAGGAGATGGTATTTTGTCCTGGAATCCCTGCCTTGACCACATCCCTAACCTGACCAGCAGCTCAGCCCCAGCCCTGCACGGTCCAGGTGGAAGCGGGAACAGCAGAGGCGGGAGAGGGCGGGAAAGGAAAGCCCACGGACCGGCAGGCGGAGCCTCCTGACCAAGTCTGGCCTGGCTGGAAGGGGAGGGGGCCGTGGGCCGAGACGTCAGATGCCATCAGCTCCCTACGGACTGTTAAAGTCGTCGCTGTGCTGCCAAGCGGGCCGGGGCGTCTGCAGAGGTCCTCTGCCTCCTCAGCCGCCTCCTGCCACCCGCCTGGGCTGCCCATGCTGGGTACGCGCCCCCGGGAAGCCCGCTCCCTGGTCCCCCGGACACCTCTCTCTGGCTCTCTTCTCTTTTTGTCTCTCCTCATCTTCTCTGTTCTATGTTCCCTCCCTCCCTCTCTTTCTGTCTCTCCCAGGTTCTTGCTATTTTGGGCCCTGTCATTGTCTCTCATTCCCTCTTGTATCTTTCTACCTTTTTACTTCTTTCATGCCTTTTCTCTGTATCTCTTTTTTTCAATCACCTTTTCATCTCCCTCATTTTCCTTTTCTCTCTTTCTCATTTTTCTTTCTCTCTGCCTCTTTCATTCTCTGCTTTCTGGTTCTTACTGTGTCTCGCTCTCAAGCCCCTAAACTGCAACTCAGGGACAAGCAGGCCCTTCACTATGCCTTGGGGAAGGTGGGCACTGCCCCTTGGCAGGCACCAACGGAGCCCACTTGGAGCAAGAGTGGGGAAGAGGGGGTCCAAGCTAGGGAGAACTGGGGTCCATCTCCTGGGCTGGTGGGATGGAGCCCTGGCTTTGAGTGGCAGCCTCATCTAACCCCACAGCCTGGTCTGGATTTAGGCCACTGTTGGGGGC